CGAAATAAATCCGTTTATTTCCTATCGCTGTAACTGCACCTGATTTGTGTTATTCGCTTTCTCTACATAGTTTCATCCTTCTGTGCGTCGGAAGTTGGTGCTTGACTTCGTTATGGATGTGAATAATTCAAAGATCGGCGAATATACTTCGTGCATGTAATTGATTGCAATTACAACAAATAGGGCAGCGATTTTATCATGGCCTGCCAGTACGAGAGTAATTTCGATGCCCAACCACAACTGGATTACTGCATCAGCTTGTCGTGACAACTTTTTAGGTCGCAGTTGTGATAATACTAATTTCCCACGCGTATTGATTGCATACATAATTCCAATGTTTGGGACTGGAACAAATGACGGAAAGTAGTAATGTTTGTTTTCTTTTATCGTGGCCTGTACGTAATGTGATACACATAATTCCAATGTTATGGGTACAGAACAAACAATGCAATGTGATATTTGTCCAAATGAATATAGTAATGTTTGTCCAATGCAATGTGATATTTGTCCAACAAACAATGCAAGTTGAAAGTAGTAATGTTTGTTCGCTTTTACCACATGAATTATGTTTGTTCGCTTTTTTTTGAATGCCATAATTTTGTCCAAAACAAAGCAAAAAAATTCCCACAGAACAAACAAATAGCAGTGACTATAATGCGCCAACAGGGGTCCACCTGTCCACAAGAATTCATGTGGTAAACAATCTACTGTAATTCTCCTGTCGAACCACCTTACTATTATGTTTCCAACTGTCCCTGCACATTGTGGACTTCACATCTTCAGGTCAAGCTCTGTATTCTGCCAATGACCATTTCTGCAATCCACCCAGTTAGTCCATGCAATATCCTCGTAACTCCTGCACCATGTGGGCCCTCACGCGCAGTTAAACTAAACCCCTTTCATATGTGTAACTGATGGACTCTGACGTTGACTTTTGCACATGTCATGTTGTGGTTGATCCACGTGTGAACAGGCACAAAGAAGTACAAATTTTAAACTGCAAACGTGCCACAAATTTTAAACTGCAAACAATGTCATGTTGCATACTGCCTGGTTGTTTCCAGTATATCGGTCGATAAGTATGTGTTTTACGTCAGTTGTGTATTGTAGATGACATATTTTCAGAAATATTTGGCTGACTGACTTTACACACTAAACATGAAGACTTTGATACTAAATAAAAACTACTAAACATCTGTACATAGCAGATATACTGGTGTGAAGAAGTATGACATCCTTTACAAAAACGAATCCTTGGAAGGGCAACCACATAGGAGATATATAAATGGAAGATATGTGAAGAAGTATTATCCAACCATGTGGGAAACTTTGAAGGGGAGTTGATTACTTCATAACAATGCACAAACGGAGAAAAATTGCACAAAAAAGAAAAAGACCATACAACAGACCATAAAATAACAGAGTATTGATATTTATTTATTTTTTTTGATCGGCAAAAGAAAAAACTTTATTGATTAAAAAGCACATACAAGGTGTGAATGATACATTAATAAAGAGGAGTTTGGAGCTAAAAAAGCTCCAACCTTCTAGTTGGTGAGAGACCAACGAAGAGAAACAAAACCAGAAGGAAAACAATAAGAATGTAACTCCAAGCCCATCCTCACAAACACGCATATCAGGGCAACCAGATGAAACTCCAAAGCAGCATGAACAAACTTCAGACCATATAGCCAGGCTTCAGACCAAAAGCACAATGCAACCACAAAAACCATGCCCGACTTTAGACCATGAACAAGATACCACCAGCCACATAACCAAAACAAGCACACAGAAGTGAAACAGCAGACCAGATATGCTACTTAGCAGCAACCACCAAAAGACATACAGCAGTAGTTTGGATTTTAATTTGCAGTTAACATCACAAATCTGCAGTTTAAACCATTGACAGCAGCTCCAGATCAAAGAACTGCTATTTGACCTCCAGACACTAGCCCAGCAACACCAGAGCTACAGCAGAGAAGAACCATGACATGCATTGCAGCCCTACAACTTAAGCTACACAACCTAGATTCTGCACTTCTGCATTGAATAGATATAACCAAACCGGGAAATCACCTAAAAACATACTGCTGCATCACACTACCAAGTATGACCCCATTTGACTCTGAATTCACACAGATCACAACAGACACTAGCTAGGAGCCTGATCCATTAGACCTGATCCAAACCTCACAGCAGCAGCCACCATTCAAACTTGAGCTTGATCCTTCAATCTCCAAAACTAATAAAAAACTACAGCAGCAGATCGACAATTGGAATAAGACCAGCAGCAGACCTCCAATAACTTTCCCAATCCAGCAGTAGACCTCCAATACAGCACACCAAAACATCATTCCAAAATTACAAAAAGGCCAATATGCAGCAGCAGACTTAAGCCTATTCCTTGATCCCATATAGCAGCAGCAGAGTACATATATAGCAGAGCAGAGTTGAAGCACAGCAGAGCAGCAACCAGAAATGAGCATGCTTGACAACATAAACTAAGGCAGAGCAACAACCCAAAAATAAGGCAAATCATAGCTAAATGGAAGCACAACATAGCAAAATTAGCCACCAAGAAGTCTGTTAATACCAGGTATACACCCACTTCCCCTTGCTTCCATCAGCATACCACAGATTGACCAAAATTCTACACCTTACAGCAAAAAACACCAAACACCACCCCTCAATCAGACTTTGATCCTATCCAGATTATTGACAATGTCCTCCACTGATAGACAATCTCAATTTGCTTAGCCACTTCCACAGGTATTTTGGAAATTGATAGAAAATATAAAGTATTGATATTCATTCATGAACAAGTCTGCACAATGGTCTGAAAGATAGCACGCATTTTGTGCAATACAAAAGAATACATATATAAACTATTCTAGGATTTGGGGAAGAGAATGGCTAGAACACCCCATTCTGATTGAGCATCTGCCAGCATGGCTTGGGCTTGGTCCAACTCAGCTTTAGTTGTCTGAATTGATGCAGAACAATGTCTAATTTGGGAGAGCATCATTCTTGCTTCTTCATTAAGCTGGTCATGTTGCTGCTGTAGATGAGCCTTTCTTTGTCGGACAGAGGCAAGTTCTGCCATGAGTTTGGTTTCCTCAAGTTCAAGTGCTCAGTATTGCTGAAAAATGGCTGAAGATGTTTGGTGGCGGAGTTTGAGTGAAGTACATATGGTGTGGGCTTCATTTACGAAATCTTTTTTCGTTTGAATATCCTTTGAGCAAATTTGAACCATATCTGAAAGGATTGGCCATTCCATGATGATCTCCGGTGATGTCCACTTTGGTTTAGATGCCAAATAGCAGCTACTGATCTCCGAAATAGCTTACATGTGGGACATCCTTTACATAAACGAATCCTTGGAAGGGCAACCACATAGGAGATATATAAACGGAAGATATGTGAAGAAGTATTAACTAACCATGTGGGAAACTTTGAAGGGGAGTTGATTACTTCATAACAATGCACAAATGGAGAAAAATTGCACAAAAAATAAAAAAACCATACAACAGACCATTAAAAAACAGAGTATTGATATTCATTTTTTATTTTGATCGCCAAAAGAAAAAACTTTATTCATGAAAAAGCACATACAAGGTGTGAATGATACATCAATAAATAGGAGATTGGAGCTAAAAAAGGCCCAACCTCCTAGTTGGTGAGAGACCAATGAAGAGAAACAAAACCAGAAGGAAAACAATAAGAATGTAACTCCAAGCCCATCATCACAAAAACGCATATCAGGGCAACCAGATGAAACTCCAAAGCAGCATGAACAAACTTCAGACCATACAGCCAGGCTTCAGACCAAGAGCACAATGCAGCCACAAAAACCATGCCCAACTTCAGACCATGAACAAGATACCACCAGCCACACAACCAAAACAAGCACACAGAGGTGAAACAGTAGACCAAATATGCTACTTAGCAGCAACCACCAAAAGACATACAGCAGCAGTTTGGATTTTAATTTGCAGTTAACATCAAAAATCTGCAGTTTACAACAGCAGTTTAAACCATTTACAGCAACTCCAGATCAGTGAACTGCTGTTTGACCTCTAGACACTAGCCTAACAACACCAGAGCTGCAGCAGAGAAGAACCATGACATGCATTGCAGCCCTACAACTTAAGCTACACAACCTAGATCCTGCATTTCTACACTGAATGGATATAACCAAACCAGGAAATCACCTAAAAACATACTGCTGCATCACACTACCAAGTATCACCCCATTTGACTCTGAATTCACACAGATCACAGCAGACACCAGCTAGGAGCCTGATCCATTAGACCTGATCCAAACCTCACAGTAGCAGCCACCATTCAGATTTGAGCCTGATCCTTCAATCTCCAAAACTAATAAAAAGCTACAGCAGCAGACCAACAATAACTTTCCTAATCCAGCAGCAGACCTCCAATATAGCACACCAAAACATTATTCCAACAATTGCAAAAAGGCCAATATGCAGTAGCAGACTTAAGCCTATTCCTTGATCCCATATAGCAGCAGCAAAGTACATATATAGCAGAGCAGAGTTGCAGCACAGCAGAGTAGTAACCAGAAATGAGCATGCTTGACAGTATAAACTAAGGCAGAGCAATAACCCAAAAATAAGGCAAAACATAGCCAAATTGAAGCACAACATAGCAAAATTAGCTACCAAGAAGATCTGCTAATACCAGGTATACACCCACTTCCCCTTGCTTCCATCAGCATACCACAAATTGACCAAAATCCTGCACCCTTGCAGCAAAAAACACCAAACACCACCCCCTCAATCAGACTTTGATCCTATCCAGATTATTGATAATGTCCTCCACTGATAGACAATCTCAATTTGCTTAGCCACTCCCACAGGTATTTTGGAAATTCATAGAAAGTAGAAAGTATCGATATTCATTCATGAACAAGTCTGCACAATGGTCTGAAAGATAGCACGCATTCTGTGCAATACAAAAGAATACATATATAAACTATTCTAGGATTTGGGGAAGAGAATGGCTAGAACACCCCATTCTGATTGAGCATCTGCCAGCATGGCTTGGGCTTGGTCCAACTCAGCTTTAGTTGTCTGAATTGATGCAGAACGATGTCTAATTTGGGAGAGCATCATCCTTGCTTCTTGATTAAGTTGGTCATGTTGCTGCTGCAGATGAGCCTTTCTTTGCCGGACAGAGGCAAGTTCTGCCATAAGTTTGGTTTCCTTAAGTTCAAGTGCTGAGTGTTGCTCAAGAATGGCTATAGAGGTTTGCTGGCTTAGTTTAAGTGAAGTAGATATGGTGTGGGCTTCGTTTAGGAAATCTTTTTTGGTTTGAACATCCTTCGAGCAAGTCTAAACCATCTCTGAAATAGTTGGCCATTCCATGATGATCTTGGCCAATTACTTTAGTTGAATGGGGTTGAAAGGATTAGGGGAGAGGTTTAGAACAACAGAAAGTCAAGCCAAGGTTTCACAGGTTTATGGAGAATGATTTCTTCAACTGGGGTGTTAATGAGGTTGATGAAGGTGGTTAAGGTTTGTTGAGTTTCAGCATGAAAGAGATGTAGCCTTTGAGGCAATGGGGATATTTCGTCTAGATGTTGTTGAAGAATAGAAAGTTTGGCCCAAATATCCTGACATGGAACGATGGCATGTGAACATTAATAGTTTGGTGAGAATATATGCTTGCAAGTAATAAAGAGTAAATAGGATGAGGTTGGAAATGGTAGTACCTGTCTTGATAATGTGCGCGCAGACGGTTGGCCTTGTTCGACTGCGGTTGTGGCAGCAGGAGGAGTTGTTTCGGGTACTGATGAAATGGCAGCATCAGTGCCTTCAGGCTCTTTTTCTAGTTCTGCTAACAGGGGAAAGTCATGAGGACCTTCAAGTTCTTTCGCAGACATTGGTCGTGGAGATGAGTCGTGTATTATGTCCATCCCTGTAAATTGGAGAACAATACTAGTTACTTAAAGAGAAGTTTTTTTTTTCAAACGAATAGTCACATTTGTATTTCTATTTACCTTGGTTGTTGTGAACTTCTGGTTGAGGGAATTTTGTATTGTCATCTGTTGGAGAGGATTGGCTGTTGATTGAAATATCAAAATCAATCCTCTCTGATTCTTTGTTTGAAGTTTGGGAATTGGAGGGGTTGGATGGTGATGGTTGAGGGCTAAAGACAGAAGGGACAATAATAGGCTCAGTGCCCCCTGGGCAATCAACCTCCATCGAGACAGCCCCAACTGTGACATCCCTGAGAGCAATAGGAGGAGGTTCTAGCTGTGAAGGATTATGTGATGCAGATTGTGTAGATTGCTGTGGTAAAGACTGTGAAGGAGGTTGTAAGGAAGTTTGTTGAGATGCTTGAGGTGGTGTTGGAGTTGGTTCTACAGTGGGTTCTCTGGGTACATTGGTGATGGGACTAGGAATTGGATCAATGTGTTGAGGAGAAGTGGAAGGATGTTGTGATGCAGATTGTGTAGATTGCTGTGACGAAGACTGTGAAGCAGGTTGTAAGGAAGTTTGTTGAGATGCCTCAGGTGGTGGTGGAGTTGGTTGTACAGTGGGTTCTCTGGGTACATTGCTGATGGGATTGGGAATTGGATGAATGTGTTGAGGAGAAGTGGAAGGATCCTCATCATCAGCAGCAGTAAGGAGTAATCTCCTTCTTTTTCTCTGCAAAAAAATAAGTGATCAGTTGGGCATGAATGGAAATTGAGATGATGTAAATATGTGAAGTGAAGGCATACTTGGTAGAGCTGCCCTAAAGGATTTGATGTTGTTTGGCCAACCATTTGGCTGAGAGGGATATCTCAATCACTTAGGTCTATACTTAGAGCAGGAGCAGTGGAAGGCTCTTCTCTCTTCTTCCCCGTGACCTCTGTCTCGGCAGGGGGTACGGGTGGTAGTTCCTCTTTGTGCTTGTGTCTGCGAGGCTGCGAAAGAGTCTGCCATTAATTGTGGAGCTGAGGGGGTGTTCGTCTGAGTAGTTGGATCCATTGGAGCCTTGCCTTTATGTTGGTCCCTAACCAATGGTTTAGCAGCAGGCCCAATTTTGGCTGTCAAAGGTCAAACAAGTTAGTGTTGTAGAGGAAAAAAAAATGCATAACACAGTCAGGGATATGAAGTATATGAAAGAAGGATACCTGTAGCCTTAAGCTTGGAAGGCGAGGATATGGGGCCCTGATTATGAATACAAGTATTGTGAAGCCAGGTTTCAAGTGGCTTGCAGAAAATAATGGCAGTCATAAGTCCCCACCAATGGTCAAAAGCAGTGGAGCAGTCCGAAGTAGGTTTGATGAAGAAGGGGCCAAAATCTTGGAAAAGTTTGGTGTTCTCTGTCAGAATTGATTCAGCTTGCCTAGGATCTTTGAAGTAGATTCTGGACCCAATCTCCTCATGGATAGTTGGGTGGAAATAAGGATAAGGGATACCCTGGGAAAGACCTAATTGCCTGGACCATTGATTGGGACAGTATGTCTCAAAACTACAGTTGGACATCTTGGTGGAGGATGTGGAACAACCAACCAAGACATGTCTAGAGGTGAGAATGTGTCTCCAAGCCTCATTTTGTTCTTGGACTTGCTCATTGTGTAAATCAGAAGGGTCTGTGAAGAGGAAGCGAAGTCTACTGGAGGAGAATTGAAAGTTTTGAAATGGCATGTACAAGTTGGAAGGTCTCTTCGAAGGAAGGTTGTAAAACATGGTAAGATGATTTCTGAAAGTGAGAATAGGTTGGCTGTTATAAGTGAGCAATTGCTCAACATAGGAGTGGAAAACTAGTTTCAAGGTGTTAGCTTGTGGGGGTCGTGCCTTAGGGAAATATGCATATAACCAGGCCTGGAAGAGCCAGAAGGGGCCACCACAGTTGCCAGAAATCTTCTTGTCGACAAAGGAAAATAGGGCCTTGTAAAGGGTGGCAAGAAGATAAGGGGCTAAAGCCATAAGTTGGCCATCTTGCACACATAAGGCAAAGGGGAGGTATTCCTTCGTGATCTTGTACCCAGGGACACAAAAAAGAAACTCACAAAGCCAAAGTAAGTAAAAAGCAGTTCTTTCTTTGTCCTGGACAAGGGAACCAAGCTTGCCTTTGTATTTTTTGGAGAAATCTGTATAGCGCATGTCAGTGTTTAAAGTAAAGGTCACTTTTGGAGGCTCAAGGAGAGCATGAATTGGATTGCCCAAGATTAGGAGACCAGTCAAGTGAGCTACATCTAACATGGTAGGGGAAATCATACCAAAATTGACGAGTAAGGAGTTACTAGACTGCGACCAAAAGCATGCAGCAGCAGCAATCAGCCCTTTCTCCACGTCATAAAT